ATTTCCATTACTTTTCTTATCTTTCCTGTTCTTACATTCTCCCTCTCTCTCTGTCCTTGTTTTCCTTTCTTTTCCATTTCCCTTTTCTTGTTCCTATTCCCTTAAATGACTATTTCTTCCTTCTCTTTCCTTTCTTCCCTTTTTCTTACATTTTCTGTCTTTTCTTTCCTTTGTTTCCTTCCCTTTTCCTCTTTCCTTTCCCTTTTCATTTCACCCTTTCTATCCTCTTCCCCTTTCTTTTTCCTCTTTTCATCCTTTCACATTTTCTTTTCTTTTCCTTTCCTCTTCCCCTCTCATTTTCCCATTCCTATTGAGTTCCTTAACTTTTTTTATTCCCCTTTCTTAATTTTTCTTTCCTTTTTCTCTTCCTTTCTATCCCCTTCCTATTTCCTTTCCATTTCTTTCCCCTTTTCTTTTTCATTTCTTCCCCTTCGTGTTAGCTTTTCATTCCTCTTTCCTTTGTTTTTTGTTTTTCCGTTCCTTTCCTTCTCTCTTCCTGTCTTAATTTTTATTTTCCCCCATTTTTATTTGGCTTTCAAAACTCCTGCATATCTCAATCAAATTGTTGTTTTTTTTTTTTTTTTGCTTTAGAATCTTTAGATCATATCATGCTTCTGTTGGTGATATGTGACAGAGATAAATAAGCTTTCTACCAGGGTTAAAGATAGCAAGTCATGGTTCCACAGTGTGCAGTTCTGTCAGATTTTATTAAGGCTTCATGTTTAATTTCCTGATACTGTATATACAGTATATATATTACAGTTCAATAGTATTGGCCCTAATGATTGTTTTAAAGTAACAAGATATAAACTGGAATTCCCTGTTAATCGCTGTTAAAGTAGTATGAAGAATAAAACAGGAGCGGGGCCAATAGGTGCCTAATCTCGTTATCACAATCTAAACTGCCCCGTAATCTAGATAATTTGTATTGATCATCCTGTGCATAAGTAGAGAATCAACAATAGATGACAATATCCAGAATAAGCAAAGCTGCGAGGTTAGGGCAACAAAGCAGCGGAGACCAAGCTCCTTCTCTTGTGTGAGGTCCATTGATTAAATCTGCTGGGTAGCGGGAGTAATCCATTTATGAATCAAAGGTCACATGACCCGCACATGGCTCAATACCCCCCACTTGTATGAACGCAGCAGTTCCTTAATTAAACAGAAGTGCGTGTGGATCAAAGTTAGTTTAATGCTCAGATAGGTGCATCTCAGAATTCCAGAGATATCCAAAGTGGCAGGTTTGTCGATACTAGTCCCAAAATAATATGTCCCACTTTATTATTCTGCTACTAATGATCAGTCTGCTTTCGATAACAATTTGCATCAGTGCATATAATAATATTTGCATACACCTCTAAAGTGAACAGCCATTCAAGATAAATGATACCATAGGAGTGTGACTTACTTGACTGTGAGCCCCTCCTGTTGGTGACGTTAATTAAAATTCTATTCAAGTATATATTCTTAACTTAAAGTGGTTGTAAACCTATGAAATTAAAAATGAGCAAAGCACATCCTCCTAGTGTGTACTTGCCTCAATCCAAAGCTTCTAGTGTGGTTCCTATCTGTTCTTACTTCCCTCTGCTATCTGCATGACACACCTCTGACAGGTTATGGGTTATGCCGACACCGCCAAACCCATGGGATAGCCCTGCCCTACCTCCAGCACACAGCCTCAGCTGTGCATGTTTCCTTATGAGGCTGTGCGCGGTGGGGGAGGTGTGTCCATTCCCTCTACTTAGGTCTCAGATTACACTCAGCTTCCTGCTCTATGCTGTGCTGTGTGTGACATGAGATCCCTGCCCCCTGCTGTGTAAAATGTATGCTTTACGAGTATATAGAGGAGAGGCAAACAGGTACAACATATATATAGAAGGATTTGTTTCCTCTCTGTGTATCACCTGAGGCCAGTCACTTCTCTGGGTATATGGAAAGGTTTACAACCACCTTGAAAAAGTTTGTTCTTTTACTCTCAGAATTCTCCAAATTACTTTTTTTTTTTTCTTGCTGCTGTGATTTGACTTCCTCGTAGAGGGTGGCTACTTTTGTTCTCCATGGACCCACTGAATGTTGGAATGTAGGCACCCTCTCTTGCTTGATGCTAAGATTGACTATGTGTTTATAGTGTGTATAAAGCAGTGCATGGGACTGCTACTAATGTGTACCACTCATTCCAGACAAATGAAAGTGAGGGGGGAAAAGGAGAGGTAATGTCCTCTATGAGCTCCCGAACAAGAAGGCAGAAAAAACACAGTACGAAATTATTTAATGAAAAATAGATTACAGGGCCAATAGGTAGTGTATGTGTATGGATTATTTTTGGAGGACAAGGATATTGCTTGCTGTCACTTTAAGCACCACTCATCAGACATCTCTCTGCTGTCACTGGAAAAGGGAGGTCTTTTTTCTTTTCAGGGGTGGGGTTGGTCAGGATATTCCATATTTTTTTAGTAACTAAGAGAAACCAGCATCAGAGGGTGCACAGAACAGGCCTTTCTGAGCACTGTGGTGTCTGATTTAATTGGGATGTTTAAAAACAGGTTCACTTCATCGACCATCTCTACTCCACCACCTCTGGGAATGTCCCACTATCGCTATCTTTTGGAACAAAGTAATAGCTTATATTGCAACATTACATACAATAAAACTGCCTAAAGACCCACTGATATGCCTTTTTGGCCATACTGTGCCAGACGCACCGTCCTGATCCTCTACCATACCACGTCTACCGCAATGGTCCCATATATACCCATTGGTGGCTCGTAGAGCGATTCTTCGAGCTTGGATACAACCATCACCTCCATGCCTCCTCACCGTCAAGAAGGCTCTTTTGTCGTTATTTACATTGACGAAGGTGGACACTATTGCTCTCAACTTCCAATCTACGAAACGGTTCTTTGTCCGTTGGAGATGCTATATGGAATATTCTTTTTCCCGTACAGAGCTCATGTTGCATATGCAACCTTTCCAATATACAGACTGGTAAGTGAGAGCGGACCTTTCTAATTCCCTGGGCAAGCTAAGATTCTTGATTCCCAACCGCCCCTTGACTTTCCAATATACAGACTGGTAAGTGAGAGCGGACCTTTCTAATTCCCTGAGCAAGCTAAGATTCTTGATTCCCAACCGCCCCTTGACTTTCCCCTTTCTACAGCATCTGGTCTGCTGGTGTCCTCGTTCACCAGGAACCCATGACCTAACCATGTCAGGTCTAATTCCTCTATTGTGCTTGAGGTCTCCCCATGATTTCTAATTGATGATATGTTGAGAAGCTTCCACTCCTGAGGGTACTAGTAGATAATAGTATTTATCTGGCTGATATTTGGCTCAACAAACCACTTGTTCTTCGATTTCCTTTCTTTTTTGTGATGTTGTACTGTTTTTTCTTTGTTTTCTGTTTTTTTACCCCACTTCCTACTATGTCATATCTGACTGTACTGCTTCATGTAGACTGTTAAACATCTGTCTGTGGCCATCATGGCAAATACTGTACATGTTGTTTTGCCCTAGGCAACACTAAAATTGGGCGCCCTTCCCCCCACCACCACCACCACCAGTACCCCCCTGGCCCCCGCCACCACTAAAATTGGAAGCCCACTACCAGCATCCCCTGCCCCGGCGCCCGCCACTAAAATTGGGCATCCATCACCAGCACCCCCCCCCCCTCCCGACCCCCACCGTTGCCACTAAAATTGGGTACCCCCAAACCTCCCACCTCTGCCACTAAAATTGGGCACTCCCTACCACACAAATCCCCCTTGGCCCCTACCGCCGACCGCAGAGAGAGAAAGTTAGTCAAGCACTAACTTTAACCTCTCCGGAGCCAAACCCAGTGTCTTCCTTCCTTGTGCAGGAAGCTTACACCCTCCAGCAGCGTGCAGCCTCCTCAGATTCTGTGGCAGAGTCTGACCCGGTCCTCAGGCGGTGCTGCCCCTCCAAAAATTGCCGCCCTAGGCAAATGCCTGATAAAGGGTGTTATTTTATGACAACTTCAGGGGCTCTCTAAGCCACACTGAATGGTCCTGATAAACACAGTGGGGGGCCACACACCAGAGTGGTGTCTGTCATCTACACCAGCCTTTCTCAACCTTCTCAACACAGAGAAACCCTTGAAGTAACCTTCTGGTCTCAGGGGATACTGCTGAAAAATGACTATATCTACAACTCATGGTACATTAGTGTGATGATCGCTAAAAAGATGAATGGTGTCAGTGGGAACCTATGTGAGAAGCAGAAATTGCTCATTGCCCAAGGAACTCCTGGCAACCTCTGGAGGAACCTTGCTTGAGAAACCCTGCTCCACACCGTTTCCAATTTTGTGCCTCCACCCTCCTCACTCTGTTGAGCCAATCACAAAGCATTGCACAAGTGATGATCTGAATGGATCAGCAGTGGGAGGGGGGCGGGGGCACAACACTGGAACTAGTGTCCATTATGGACACTGCTGTGATGTATCGAAAGCTGGAAGTGTGGCTCCCCTCTGTACATATCTCTGCAGACTTCTGAGAGCTCCTAAAGTAGTAATAGAATAACATTGTTTATATGTTAATTACAGATGAAAAAAACCACATAAATTGCTTTACCTGTGGTTGGGCTCTACATTAGAGATTCTTTTCTTTCTTTACGATCAAATCTTTGGGGGAATGAATAAAAGCTGATTGTTTTAATCACCCCTGCCAGTGTTAAGTGGTTTGTCTCTTCCATGCAAACTGATATATTCTGCTGGAGAGCTTGTGCTTCTGAAAAACAGACTTGCTGGCTGGATCACCTAAAAAAAGGAAACTGATGCAGCCACGGCATATAAGAATTAGTAAGCTGCAATATAATAACTGTTTTCTTTTGGATGTAATGCCTTTTTATTAGGAAAATCTCCTGGCGTTAGCTTTCCATGGTGCTGAAACTTTATGTACAGTTGTACAAATCTGGGGTGTGTAAACAATAATAAATGTAACCTATAGGTGATCTCATCCAGACTTTTGACTCCGCGGTGCTGTTTTTCTTTGCAGATCTATCAGAGGTGTTGGTTAGTATTCAAGAAAGCATCTAGCAAAGGGCCAAAGCGTCTGGAGAAGTTTTCTGATGAGCGAGCCGCGTATTTTCGATGTTACCATAAGGTAAGTGTTAAATATAATTCAAAATGTGCTCTTCTGTTCACACGGCTTCATACTTCACTGGGTACGCAACAGAGGGCCACTTAAAGTGCAACTCTGGCTAAAACTTATTTCTTAGTTTTGGATAGAGTGGTGAAGGGTTAGAGCCCCTGTTCGGTTTGTACTTCGGTACAGTGGTTTGTACAGGGTAGCAATATACTGGCAGCTCATTTCAAATTATTGGGCTGCCTTAACCCCCCTGGCAATATTCCCAATTGTAGCTCGTGGTAAAGTTTGAGCACCAAAAGGGGTAACAACGAGCTACACTCGGTAATACACTGCAGTGTTGCTTCAGGATTCCCTGCAGCACTTACCTTGTTCTGCGCTCCTGCAATGTCCCCCTGCAGCGTCTCCGGCCAATTCCGGCATCTGTCTTCCGGGTTCCGTTCCCTGCGAGCGTCGGGACGTACGGGGGCCGGAACTGGCAGGAAATTAAAAAATTTAAAAATGTGACATTCACTAAATACACTAAAATCTGATAGAATTCTATTACTGTATCAAACCATTTCACATACATTTTGTCCCGAGTGCTTTGTCCTGTGCCCTGCCTGCAGACTGAGAAATGTCCATGGTGTCCAAAAAGCGTCCCTTTAGGTCAAAAGCGGTTTTAGACCGGCTAGAGAACAGCGATAGTAAATTAGAACCACTTGCAGAATTGAGTGATAATGATTGGTGGGGGAAATTCGTCATCAGACACTGAAAACGATTCTGCGACTGAACTCAGCAATGTGCGAACTTGGCGCTATATTTCAGATTTCAGTGTTTTTGGTTTGATTATATTATTGATTAAATTTATTATTATATTTATTATTTTTTATGATTATTTATTATATTATAATTTATGATTTCGTGTTTCAAGTTTTATCCTACTCGGGATGTTTACTAGACTCTTGTTTGGGCAGATTTCAGTGAGTTATTCCTAAAAATTACAGGCCTACAATAAAAAAAACAACATATTTCCATGCAAAAAAATGGAGGGAGGTTAATGCAACACACGTCAATGTCCAAAGTACCACACATGAACGTGCTGATGATAACTCTCTGCTACAGACCATTGTCGCTTGTCCTGGCCCTGCATGCCATTGCCAACATCCTCCTGCTGAGTATTGCCAGTAGCCTGGCTGTCATGCAGAAGGGAAGTGGTGGGATGGCACTGGGTGCAGCACTGAGAGATGCTCTTCCATGGTCAGTGTGGCTTTGGGAAGCTATAAGGTACAAGAGAGCTGAAGCTACAGTTGGGCTTTTAGTTTGGACCCCAAGTTTGCTGATCATATGCAGAATATATCATTTCTCTGGCTCAGTGACTCCGAAAGTTTTCACATCTTAAATTTAGCGTGCAAGCCTGGGAGTATTTTAAAGAGTGCACGACCAAGGAGGAACACATTTCTTTCAGCTGAAGTGTCTTTTATAGTTCATAAACTGATGGCACGATCATAAATCCCGGGCGTACATTAAGCAGCTCACATTTACAGCCATTGGCATGCTAGTGACAACTCGCCAGCGACAGCATGACTATACAGGGCAGATACATCCACACTTGTCTCCATATGTTGGTCCATCACTGGCCAGATAAGTGAGGCATCCCTCTTATGCCGGCCATAGATGGGTCGAAAATCGATTTTTCGACCCCAAAAAAAAAAAAAAAATCGGCTGATTTGCGCACCGTTAGTGGGTTAATTGGTCGGCCGTTTTTCTGGGTTTTTGCACATTTTTTTTATCGGGCATGTTGGAAAATTTGGGGCCGATTATGACGATCGGCCGATTTTTCCGGCAAAGATGGGCAAATCAACCGATCGTTTTACTGATAAAAAATCTGTGCATGAGCCGTGCCCTGCAAGAAGAAGAAGAAGGATTCCAGTCCGCTATTATATTTTAGATGAAAAAGTCTTGCGGTTGCAACAAATGTATCCATTTGTATCCAAATAAAAACATCTGTATCCAAATAAAAACATCTGTATCCAAATAAAAACATTGTAATCCAAATAATGTATTACAATGTTTTTATTTGGATACAAATGGATACATTTGTTGCAACCGCAAGACTTTTTCCTATAAAATATAATAGCGGACTTGAATTATTCTTCTTCTTCTCCTTTTTCTCCTTCCAAAATAAAGGAATAGAATAGATTCAAACTCGAATAGAAAAGAAAAGAACAGTAAATAAAGGAATAGAATAGAAAATAAAATAATAGAATTGGAAAAAAAAATAGCATAGAATAAAACAGAAAAATATAACCGTCTTCTGAAATTTGAATAGAATAAATTCAAATTCGAATAGAATAGAAATGAAAAGAATAGAAAATAAAGGAATAGAAAATAAAATAATAGAATATAAAAAAAATAGAGTAAAATAGAAAGAATATAACCGCCTTCTGAAATTTTAGTAGAATAAATTCAAATTTTAATAAAATAGAAAAGAATAGAAAATAAAGGAATAGAAAATAAAATAACAGAATATAAAAAAAAATAGAATAGAATAAAATAGAATATAACCGTCTTCTGAAATTCTAATAGAATAAATTCAAATTCAAATAGAATAGAAAATAAAGGAATAGAATAGAAAATAACAGAATAGAAAAAAAACAATAGAATTGAATAAAAATAGAAAGACTATAGCCGTCTTCCGAAATCTGAAATTTGAACGCCGATTAAAATTTTTTCGCGTTCGAATAAATGAAACTAATTCTGAAACTCAATTCAGCAAATTTAACTTAACAAAATTATTGAAATACAAATCAAAACAAAACAAATGTGTTCATTCTGCACATGCCTAGGGAGGTTCATTCAGACAGTGAGAGAGAAACGCATGGAAATGGGAGTATTTCCTCTCCTGCATGGGATCTCTTGCCAGCAAGTGTCATTGGACAGCAGGATAGCAACACCTCGCTCATCCCGCCAATGAGGGAGCGAGGGATGCAGACGGGAGTGTTTCCTTCGCTCCATGAGCACGGCATAGATCCCTGGTCAGCAAGTGTCATTGGACAGCAGGATAGCAACACCTCGCTCATCCCGCCAATGAGGGAGCAAGGCCTGCAGATGGGAGTGTTTCCTTCGCTCCATGAGCACAGCATAGATCCCTGGTCAGCAAGTGTCATTGGACAGCAGGATAGCAACACCTCGCTCATCCCACCAATGAGTGATCGAGGGATGCAGACAGGAGTGTTTCCTTCGCTCCATGAGCACGGCATAGATTCCTGGTCAGCAAGTGTCATTGGACAGCAGGATAGCAACACCTCGCTCATCCCGCCAATGAGGGAGCAAGGCCTGCAGACAGGAGTGTTTCCTTCGCTCCATGAGCACGGCATAGATCCCTGGTCAGCAAGTGTCATTGGACAGCAGGATAGCAACACCTCGCTCATCCCCGCCAATGAGGGAGCAAGGCCTGCAGACGGGAGTGTTTCCTTCGCTCCATGAGCACAGCATAGATCCCTGGTCAGCAAGTGTCATTGGACAGCAGGATAGCAACACCTCGCTCATCCCGCCAATGAGGGAGCAAGGCCTGCAGACAGGAGTGTTTTCCTTCGCTCCATGAGCACAGCATAGATCCCTGGTCAGCAAGTGTCATTCTGCAGCATTTTCGGCCAGCAAGGGATCAATGTATGGAAAGAGGTGAGTATTTTTTTTCTACCCTTCTTAGCGATCCTGAGTTGCTGTCAGTGACAGTATGGTCGCGGTGCCATGGGCTTTCATCAATTTTTGTTTTTCTTTAGATCAGTGCTGCCATAAGATGCAGCCGGTTGGAATAAAAAGTTATTCCTTTGAAACTGTGTACAATGTGTAAGAGCGCGCAGCCTTCTGTCTGCCTGCTAAATATAGCCGTGTGCTCCAGTACTAATATATGCCGGAGATTAGTCTTCCCATATGGTGTGCAGCATTAGGAGAATCGAGGCGTTCACAAGACATTTGTTCCGATAACTGCGCAATACGGCCAGCCTTTCAAAACAGGACCTGCTCCAGCGCGCACAAGAGCGGCAACACCGAAATTCTTAGGCAAGGTCGATTTCTTGCCACTCCCATCACCAGTCATTTATTTATTTCAGGTACTTATATAGCACCGTCAATTTATGCAGAGCTTTATATACTGTATATACTGTACATTCACATCGGTTCCTAACCCTCAAGGGGGGTACAATCGAAGGTCCCTGACCCGCAAGGGGAGTACAATTTAAGGTCCCTAACCCTCAAGAGGTGTACAATCTATGATCTCTAACCCTTAAGGGGCGTACAATCTAAGATCCCCAACCCTCATTGGGCATACAATCTAAGGTCCCTAACCCTCAAGGGGTGTACAATCTAAGGTCCCTAACCCTCAAGGGGCGTACAATCTAAGGTCCCTAACTCACATTCATGCATACACATACTAGGGCCAATTTAGACAGGAGCCAATTAACCTACCAGCATGTCTTTGGAGTGTGGGAGGAAACCGGAGTACCCGGAGGAAACCCACGCAGGTGCAGGGAGAACATGCAAACTCCAGGCAGGTGGTTGGGATTCGAACCAATGACCAATTTAATCACTGTGCTGCCCAGTGATTATTTAAGACAGAGATGCTGACCTTCGGTTTCAAAACCCAACTAAATCATAGTCTTTGCCATTGTAAAAGTCTTTCCCAGTCTTTATCCATCATTAAATTTTACCTGGTGATCCTGTCATGAATGGCACTTCCTGTTATGGGGTGGCAACCATCTCCCGATGGTGATTCTGCGTTGTCACTCTGTCATATGTTCCCCTGCTGGAGGCTACAAGCAGCCGTGCCGACACATTGCGCAGACATGTGTTTGTCATTACACACCATCAGAAAGCAACAATGTGTGCAGCGCTATCCCCACAGAGGCCGCTGGTTCTTCCCTAAGGCTAGGTTCACTTATGTGCGGGTGGTGCCGCTGCGAATCCGCACAAAAATCAGTGCAGCCGCACCACCCACACAGAAGAATGCGGACCCACGGGCGGGTGCCATTAGTTCT